TGGGCTAAGGCCAAGCAAACCAGGAGAACGATCTTACCAGGATGCCCTGAATCTGCAGGTCAGAATCTTCAGTGTCAGACCAACTGTAAATATGGTCACAGTCCTATGTGGTGCTTTATAAAAGAAATCAGTGTGATGTCCTACAAAGTTCACTTTTTGAATATTAAAAGTTTTTCATTTGTATGATTTTTTCCCATCATAATTGACCTATAAATTTTTCAGTTATGGCCACATGAAATCACACTAACCTTGACCTTTGACCTTGACCACCAAAATCTAACCAGCCCACCTTTAAGTGGACATATTTACCACATTTTAAGACATGTTCTCGAGGTGTTGCTGCCATATCTCATTCATGAATCGGGCTAAAGTCTAAATCATCTTCTTTAAGATCACAACGAACTCTCTGATCGTTTCATCCTTAAATCCATGTAAACATTTGTTCCCATTTTGAAGAAATTCCTGAAATATGGTGTTAACGCAAGAATGCAAAGAAGGAATACCCCAAAAACACAATGCCACGAGTCGTGGATGTTATACAGACAGATAATGACATGGACATCACCATCACACACATTATAAGAAAGGTTTTTGATAATATATATTGTATTTATGATCAAGAAGTAAAACAGTATGCTGTTTCAGTATCAACATTTACTGTAGAAACTCTTCAGGATGGTTACTCTCTGTTAAAGTAAGAAAAACCCGCAATGGTCGCTGAAATAAGTTCCATCTTTTCTAGGAGAACCAACCAGGCCATTTTCCTTAGTTTACAAAAAAAAAAAGATTCTGTTGGACCACAATTTATAAGAAATGTCTGATTTGCTGTATTTCTCTGTGTAGCATGTTTAGGCTGAGTGATGTCTTTTATTTTGGAAATTGGACTTTGCCCAACTTCCCGTTCTCCACTTTTGCACTGTGCAAATTGAGGTTGCGTGTGTAAAAATGAACACTGAAGCTATTTTAAGTGACCACTGACCTTATTTTGGATGCCTCAGAAATGCACTTGAGAGTATGTGGTGGCATTGTCCTGAGTGGGTGCAATCAGCAAAGGGCGCTGTTAAGTTGTGCCTGTGGCGTCTAGTAAATAAAATGAACCAACGTGTGAACTATTATAATTGCAAGCTACCAAATAAAAGATCATAACAAAAAATATTTACAGACTTATATCATGTCACGATTAAGTAGGAACAAGCTGTTGTTTTCTATGTACATTTTAAAGACACAGTAAAAGAAATGTGCCCCTTATTAACCACCGAAAAACCATCTGTGTGGAGAAATGAAGAAGTCACTTTTGGGGTTTCGCTACAGAGAACTTAGAAATAACTATTTTTTCACTTTGCACTCCTGGGATTTCCACTTTAAAAATGACAGCTGAACAAATTAAAAGTTAACAAAATAGCAAAATAGGTTTTAAACTGCAATTAATTGCTTATATTTTAATACAAGCCCTGACACTCAAATCTGTTCATGTTTCAGCTTGTCAGGCACTCAAAGATGCAAAACACGCAATAAACTAAGAAAACTCAAGACACAAGACGTGACTTGGGCAGACTGAATGGGTGAAGTACTGACAGAAGATATACACTGGCAGGTGTATTACTTCTAGACCTCCACTCCACATTTTAGCAGCGTGTAAAGCACACCTTGAGCTAAAGTTGGCTGTGTATAAACTTTAGACGCAATGTTATAATAGGACAGGAACGGCTGCCTTATAGTTCTAATATGACTCAAGATATGCTGAATATGACCTAACGGTATCCTTCTCATCCTTCTCATCTGTTGCAGCAGTGCAGCAGTGTCTTCCCGTAGAGCCAGTCGCCCTCCTAAAGACCCCAGCATACTCGTGCACCGCTCGTATCATCACACAGCCACGTCCAAGCTTTTTTTTCACTAGTCTAATCTTTTCAGACTGGTGCAACATCTCCCTCTGTATAATCGGTGAGTCTTTGAACTTCTGTACTCCGACATGATCCTAAACTTCTGTCTTCAACCCTGCTGTGGCTAAAAACCCAGCTGGGTTACAAAATCAAGAAGTGCACGACCTGTGGAAACAGCAGTGGACAGGAATTTAATTTGTTGTATGGTGCTGTTTGTTAGGCACACAACAGAAATACAATGGATCTAAATGTCTGCTTCCTTCAAATGTCAAAGGTCTACTTCTTACTCCAAGATAAGGTCATCATTATGGAGAACAGCTGTTTTAACAACAACAACAACAAAAATGCTTGTTAAAGTTGGCTTTAAGGTGATGTCCACACAGGAAACAATTTTCTCTTTGTGATGCTGACAATCAGTCACTAATGGATACTCCAGGCTCTGATCGTCTAGGTAACCCTCTAATGCAATGTGTCAAGCAGTGGCATCCTTCACGCTCACTGGTAGCTGCTTCAGAGAAAAGTTTAACTTCACACCAGCAGCTGTTATGTCACCAGTTAAAGTCGCCTAATGTCGTTGACTTTTTGTCTGTGGCCGCCACGCCACTGAAAATATTGCTTCCTGCGTGGACGCCCCTTTAGGCTTGCCGCTGTAATGAAATAACACAACTCTGAATTCTCTGGGCAGGAATTAACATATTTATTACACCGTAAAGAACAACAATACCAGAATTATACTGCAAAGTTTCACAGACTGACAGACCATAGTTTACAGCCCAAAAAAAGAAAAGAATTAAAATTAAGAAACAAAAAAAAGAAATAAAATCAACAAGAAACCACAGTTCTGACATAGTAGACTGGAAAGCTCTCTAGAGGACACTGACAGTAAGCGATGGAAAGACCGCTTAGCGTCAGCCTACCACTAACCTGTGGTTTTCATGTCTTAATTAAGTATTGCACAACAACTTCAAATTATTTGAGCTCTGTTTTTTTTTCACAATAAATTTTCTCAAGAGAACGGAAAAACCCTCCCACCCCTGAAGTTCAACTCCTTCCCCCCCAAATTAATGCTACGGCCTTGCTGTTTGCTGTCGGCCCCTTCATTTCCCTATTGTTTCATGTTAAGTAGGAAATTTAAATAACGTTTCCCCCCATTGTGAAAAACAGGCATGCCTAAACTCATAGCCTCATTTTTTTTTTGTTTTCCAAGATTGACCTTTTGTATATTCCCCCAGCTGACAAATCGACAAGCACTTCCGCATGTCTTAACAACAGAGAAAAAAACAATATAAAAAGAGGAGAAAAGGCGGTGGGGAAACAGGGAAGAAAAAAGAGCAAGAGAAACATTTCTTATCTGTGACCTTAGCTTGTGCCGTCGAGATGGGAATCGACAACACTTTTCTTTAAAATTAGCACAATTTTCTCAAATCTGTTCAAACAATTCAAACTCTTGATGTACTCTAGAAATGCCACAGGCATAAAGGAACATAACAAAAGTTTTTTTTTCTGTTTTTTTTTTCTCATTTCTATTTAGGTTTCATTTATTTATGAGGTCTGCATTGTTACCAAGTAGTGATATGGTTTTGCAGCTGTATGAGCTTCGACTTTGGGTTTTATATTTTCCTGTTCTCTTGTGCCCATTTGGTTTCGACTAGACCAGTATCAGCGCCGTGACTGATGCTCTTATCGTGCTGTAAGAGGTAGAGTGAGACTTGTTTGCCACCGAGGAATTTGTAGCAAAACACACATAGAGGAGGGAAGAAAGAAAGAAAAAAAAAAATTACAATAACGCTTCTCAAAGCATCATTGAATGATCGTGTTTCCTAGCTTTTTTTTTCTCTTTTTTTTTCTTTTTAAACCCAGATTTTGCCCTGAAAATTATGAACACATACATTATTTGTTGTATACCTTGAAATACACTAGTGTTAAAACAGCTTGGCTGTTTCTTCACAGCTTCTGAGAAGTCGCTAGTAGGGTGTCAGACACCTTTTTGGATTGTTTAACCCTTTAAAGTCAAGAATGCAAGTGTATGTTGTAGTTAGACAAGGAGGGAGAGATGAGGAAGTACAGAGGGAGCAAACTGCCCCGAAACCTTTGTGGGCCTCCACTTGTTCCTTGAGGTCAGAATTTGTAACGCGCTTCTGTGTAGCACCAAGGTGTTTGGGGTGAGTGTCGGGGTAAGTGCTCTCGTACTGCGATTGAGAGGTTTGTCTGATTTACGCTAAAGGTTTTCGACAAAATTGCGATGGATTAACCCAAATGATATAAATAAATAAATACAGTACAATGGCGTTGGTGTGAAAGCCCAGTCTCACATTTACCTCTGCGAATCAAAAACTTAACTGCTTAAAGCTGAAATGGGCACTGAATCTGACGGTTGTGTAATGACAAAATGTGTAAAAAAAAAAAAAGGAAAGAAATCTCGAGAATCGCTTCAAAAATGGTTTCAGAAGTTGCGTTTGTGTCACATTAGCTATTATTGCTGCAGTTAAAGTGTATCTCCGCTCTGCACGCTCATCGGGGTCAATTCACACCTTCTTATTCCACAATGTGAGACGAGTGCTCGTGGTTTCCAGAATATGGTAAAGATAAAAGAATCTTTTTTCTTTTTGTTCATGGAAATATGAACAAAAGCTGGAGAAACGAATGCCCGAATGTCTGAGTGGACAAACCTCTTTTCAAAAATCGTTTAAATCAGGATTTTGGTCCTTGGTGTCAGTCTTTGGCTGTTTTTGGTGTTTTTATGTTTAACTCTTGTGTTAATACTGCGTGTTACCTGGTGCTTTGCAGTGTTAAAGCTGTCAATCGGAGTCTACACCTCTGCATTTGGAAAGTTAGTTTGTTAGAATATTTTTTTTTGTATTGTTTTTTTAAAATTATTATTATAATTTTTTTGGTTGTTTTTTCAGTTTTTTCTAAAAAATAACAAATATTTAACAAACGTTCAGTAATGTGCATGCACTGTTGTAACTATTTAAACAACAACAACGAAAAAAAAAGACGTTATGGCTGCTCTTCTTAGCACGCAGAGTAAAAAAAACAAAACCGAACAAAAGAGAAAAAGAAAAACGGAATGGGTTTGGTGGTTTACGTTTTT